CCCCAAAACCCCAAAACCCCAAAACCCCAAAACCCCTTATAAATTTGAATAAATTGAAAGATATGATATTTAATCTGTGTTATCAGGGAATCTGATCCTGTCGTTTAGGAAAAGATTCTTGATTTTTTTATTTTGTGGTATAGAAGAATGATTGTCAAAAAGAGGAGCTTCTAGACTTGCATCATATCTTCTTGGCCCATGGGAGGTTCTGATTTCCTCTAAACTTTTGTTATATTTTATTACCTCTTCAAAATTCTAGTAGTCCTTGCTCGAATTTAGAATTTAATGATGATCTTTTTGATTTTTGACCTAAATTATTGAGATTACAACAATTCAAAGCTAGGTTTTTAAAACTCTCATAGTTGAACTTGCTAAACACTTTGCTATATGGAACCTTTGCATATTGATATTCTAAAAATTCATTGATGATTATCGGAGAATATGCCACAAGCTTAATTCAGGATTTAGAGAGCATTCATGTTTCATCCCACCAATAGAGTTCATCAAAGTAGATAAAGTTACCTGTATTGAGCCTTCTTTCTCTCTTAGTTTGGACTTTGTTAAACGTATCTCCTTGCTTTTCGTTATTTGTCTTGATCCTTTTGTTCATGAATCCTTTGAAACCTTTGTTAGTATGGAAGAAGAGCAGATCTCTTTTATTTTTCCCACATAAAACAGATTTAGTACGTGGCTTTATAGCTTTGTATTCTACATTGTTTTCTCAGCCTATCATTGATTTAGATTAGAATTTTGAAATTGAAATAACAGGATCACAGATTATACCTCTAGCTCTTGTTATACTTCCTTCTATACAATCATAATTAAGCTGTACTTTTAGCTGGGACTCGGATGTCACTGTAACAAGTGGGCTGAAACTTTTGGCTACAAGTCAGCCCACGTGGCTTAGCTATCTTATGTACAAGATAAGGATTCAACGAAACTGGTTGAGGGTACTGCTGGTTAATCTCTTCCAGCTTCGAGAAGAAGTCTGTCAGAGTTATATCAGTCAATTTTCTTGCTTCTAGGCCTCATTTATGTGAAAATACCTGATCTACTTTGACCGGGTTATTTTCTTCTTGCTTAACCTCCTCTGTAACAGATTTTGAGCATGTCTTTGGAGTGTTAGAAAGACCCGATATCTTTGTTTTTGCCAGTTTGACTCTTTTTGGTGACTTTTTGTTCCTCAAACCAGCGGATTTTGGTCATAACGGTGATGATTTAGGTGATTTAGAGTCATTTTTAGACCTTTTAGAGCTATTTTTAATTTTTTGTATGTGTTTGGATATGTAAGTAAGTTTTTATAGCTTTGCTATTAAACTTTTTCTCTCTAAAAATTAACAGAAAAATACCCTAGTTTGCTGGTTAAAATAGTATCTGAAATTTTTATGTTAAGAAGTCCTCCTTTCTGATTTGGTAGTGCTGGCTTATTTAGACATCTCTGAAGTTGTCCCAAAATTTGATAGAGAAACTCTTGACTTGTTAGTTCTGGAATATAAAGTCGAGTTTATAGCTATAAATTATGTAAAAATAATACCATTCATTCCTCTACTAACTCTGATATTTTTAGCTTTGGGAGTTTTCTGGGAAAGTCTCCTTGATCTCTTTTGTTTCTTTGGCTCTACTCTCTTTGGAGATACCCAATAAGAAGGAGTCTTTGGCACCGGAGCGACTATTAATGATCATTCTTGACTTACTATATTTCTCTTTATTTAGGATGTACTTCTTTTGCAAGAGGAAGCCTTCTTGAATATATCTGCAATTTTCCTGAATTAAGTCCCATAAAATGAACTGAATAGGTCTTTTTAGAAAATTCATGGATTTGTGCCATAACTTCTTTATAACTCTCCTTATCAAGGTTATACTTTACAAGAATGTCTTGAGTATCGTTTTCTATGTCTTTTTGTGGTGTTTTACGAAATCCTCTTTTAATAGATTATGCCTTAAAGTTTTACTTCCCTTAAGAATTCTTCTAGGGCATATTTTGAATCTTGGAGGAGCTGTATAGACTATTAGACTCAAAAAAAATTGATTTATAAGGCTAATAATACTCACATTTTTCCTTTATTATCTTAGAGGTTACAGTTGATAGTTTTACTCAATCAATATTTTTGCTGTTATCCATTAATATTTTATTTCTATTTATCCAAACCTGTAGGGGTTTTGGGGTTTTGGGGTTTTGGGG